ATGGATGGATGGATGGGTGGATGGATGGATGGCTGGATGGATGGATGGGTGGATGGATGGATGCTGCTGAAGCTGTAGCATTGTTTAAGCGGCACATATGTAGTAGAAGTATAAGTTGCAGGGAAATACAGGATTTAAACCTTATCTTGAGCACTGGCCCTCGAGGCATTACTATGACTGGATTTTTGATGAACTTTGGTTGACTTGAGAGCTGGCTCTTTAATATGATTTTATAAATGGCTGGGGTTGCTTTGGGATATTATTGTTTGTGGAAGTGCTTACTGTAACTATGCTTTTGTATCTTGTTTTGTAATTAATACAAAGTGCTGCAGCTACAGGGAATAGACTGTCACAATTCCCATTTTGATGTGGCTCTCAGATGCTATTTATTCATGACAGAAGTGACTTTTATGGAAAGGCAAAACTTGAAATTGTTTTGAATTTGCACTCCTTTGATTGCTAAAACAATGATCCGTGCAATTTAAAGTTTGACTTCCAATGTGAGATAATAACGCAAATGTACTGTATTTTACTGGGTGACAGTAATTGCTCATAAGTGATACTCACTGGTATGACATGCAAATTGCTTTGTATGGTATGACTGGGACTGAGTGCTTGCAGAAATTGACAGCACTTTAACACAGTTTTGGCTTGCAAACAGGCCTCATTAAAAGCAGAACATTTTTCTGCTTTTTTGGTTTGATTAAGACAGAAATTGTTGGCTTTGTCATTCTACCAAGAACTTAATGCTGCTGCGACTGTTATGATTCACGGATGAGTGGACTCAAATGCAGGACACTGGAGACTGAATAATTCAACAAAAAGCAAGTTTAATAGCTGATGAAAACATTCCTCAGGGTTGAGTAAAAGGAAAGGTATAAATCCAGAAGTCCAGGCATGCACAAAGAAGCAAAGGGAACAAGAAGAATCCACGTGACAAAACATGCTATCCAACACAGGGGAAGACAAGACTGTATAGCCAATCACAGGGGTAATTGGGGTTGGGGAAGCAGTTAAACAGAAAAGAAAATAATGAGGACAGGGCTGAAGATAGCCAAATAGGGAAAAACTAGAAGGTAAAATGAACCAAAACCCATTGTGCTGTGTCATAGCACAACCGAAATTACTGCAGATGTGTGCAATGAGCTTGCACTGTCATTGCTCTTGAAATGGTTGCTTTAAAGACAGACACCAGATCTTTGAGAACTCACAGTTTTTTGCCTTTTTGGCAACTTTAATGTATCAAGATGGCGATAAAACAGCAATTGGGTGGAGTTAGTCTGCTATCAGTTTGCAGCTGAATGGGATAAAGATGGCACACGATCTCTTTGTGATGATGCCGTGATTAACTTCTATTTGGAGATTAAGTATCGGAATTTCAGGAGCGGGACCACGCCTCCAAACACGCTCCTTTTGGTTCTCATCTATATAGGTTCCCTCAGTCCTACAAGTGGTCATTCCCGTTTATGTGCCCCACCCTCCCTTGCCTTTTCAATTCTTTATCTTCTTCAATTATCTTCTTCGCGGCCCGGTAGCCACTGCCAATCCCCTTCGAGGCCTTCCCCAAACTGCAGCTCAATTCATGTCCAAGCCATTCACCTTTACCTACTAAAAAGCTGTCAAACATAAAATCAGGACGTGGGCCAGGCTAGTGAAAGACACAGTCATTCACATGACACAGAATTAAACGTTACATTAACATAAATTTCTCAACAAAGTGGCACAATTACTGCAGGGTTGAAACTTAACTGCAAAATGGCATAGATGCTTGGAGACCTTGCTTTGATATAGCAATACTACCAGAATACAACTGTTTGGCAACTAGTTTTGTAAAGTCTCCTACTGCAAAAAAATCGCAGACAAGTTGCTCTTGTCAGCACAGACTGATTTATTCGGTACGGCCTGGGTTTAAATGAGATACTGCAAGACACACATATTAACAGAATGCCTGCTCTAATAAATTAAAGGCAGTGCTGTTTTATAAGCCCAAATCTTCCTTCTAGTGCAAGACCACAGTTTACACATATCCCTCCTACAAGGAAAAAGACTTCATCTTATGCATGTAAATCCATAAGGCAGGGCTTATTATTCTAAATAGCAACATAATATTATGCAAAGACTTGTGGAGACTTTGATGTTCTCTGCCTTCCTTTCATCTTAAATTAATTTAAAGGAGGAAAGTTTGATATAGACAATCAGGACTGATCCTCTGCAACCGTCCGATCCACCTCCACCACCCTGACCACGCCGCACACACGTAATCTCCCCTCCCCGAAAGCCAAAGTCCACATTAACATCGTAATAGGAAAGTGTGTTAAAGCAAAGCTCTTGCAGCCTGACAAGAGCGAATTGGATGTCAGAAGGATTCCTGCTCAGTTTAATTGAATCTGCCCAGCACTAAAAAAGAAAATCTGAAGTCAAAATAACCTATTAGATCTATCAGGTAATGTTTTGTTGAGTTTGACAGGTAGCGCTGCGCTGACCTCCCCACTCCCGACTCCATTCCTTCAGGTTGGGTAATGCAGGTGTGTAGGGATGGTATCCATGATGTTTCTCTCTCTGTTTCTGTTATTCGTTAATCAATTGCAGCCTGGCTCTTTCTGTTTTCTGGAGCTCACTCAGCAAATCCCCCGTGTAGAACTAGGCTGGAGAAGCATGTGGAGGGGTTTTTAGTGAGTTACTTCAGCTAATGGATGGTGGGGCTGAAGGTCTGCTCCATGTGTGAACTGAATGCTAAGAACTGGACGTTGTTCAGTTTCCAGGCTTCTGTAAATATTTTCAGTAAAAAAAGAAAGAAAGAAAGAAAAGAAAGCATTAGTGTGGAAATGAAGGTTGGTGTAATGGTATCAAAATAAGCTAAAAGCACGTAAATGTACCTGTACATGTATATTATGTTGAATACAAATGTGCTTCATGAATACACAATGAAGCCCAGGTCACATCTCAGTGCAGCGTTCAGCCATGTGAATCTTCTCTCCAGCAGCCGTTCACCTTCCTGGGGCATAATGTGGGGAAAGAAATGTCCTCATGCTTTGTCCCATGAAGGACCAATCACGTCGGCAAATGGATATTAACTTAGGGTTGTCATGGATCCCTACACATGATCAATAGCTTTCACATAGCATTGCAACCAAGGACTTTAGGGGACTGTTGTCCAGTCACAGATGTTTTTTGTGTTGTTTTTTAACCCAACTCCTGCTCTGAAACTTGATTAACTATCCCCACTGTGTTAATAATTTGTGAAAGTTTGTTTTGTTTAGGCACGGTTGCATACAAAAAAACATTTTAAAGACTTATTTTTCTAATCATGAAACCTCACAACGATACACAAGCCGTGGCGAGCAGATTCTTAATGAAAGGTACAATACTGAATAATTTCTCGTTTGGTATGACTATGGTTATTCTTAATCAATTCTTGATTGCAATCCAAACAGTTATTGTTGTGGCAATTTCGTACAGTGGTTATTAAAATGTCAGCAAGAGACAAAGGAGCCAGACTGAACTCAGGAAAAGAAAAAAGTCCTTCTTTGTCTTGTGGGAGAGCAACTATGGAGCAATCAAAACAACACAAATTGCACAGCGTAACGCGTGATGTGTGTCACTATATTAACCCTTTGGTTATGACCAAGTCCAACCCTAGGCAATCAATTGTTCTTGCAAGTCTCTGTAATTAGAACAAAAAAGTTCTAAAAACTATTTATTAACTCATTTTTAGCTATTTGTTATTTAAAATATAGGGTTATCACATATCGTGACCATGACTTCAGAGGTCTTACTATACATGCAGCGAAATTCTACTTAAGATAAAGAGCTCAGCATGCTAATGAAAAACAAACGACATAAAAGAGGCATTAAGATCACTAGTTAAAAACTGAAACTGCTGATGAGGTTTGGACACATAGTTTGAGTACAGTGAGGAAAAATTGTGGTATAATTGTGACTTTGGTGTTGTTAACATAGGATCGAAGCGTGGTATGTTCTATGTGTCACAAGCTAAACATGCATCCTGGCCCTGAACAGCTCACCTGTCAATATCTAAACATATAGCTTACTGAGCCATGTGTGTGTGTGATCGCTGAACGAATCAGTGTAGTAAGTTGATTTGGTCAAAAACTGAATTGGCTTCCTTGATTTTCCCTGCATTGAAGGGATTACACCCTTTTTGAGTACAGTTGTAAAGTTGAATAAATGTCAATAAGTGTACACTAAGTATTAATATATATATATGTTAACCTGTGATTTTACAAAATGAACGATCTCTCCTTATTTGCAGCACCATTGTTGCTTTTCAGTAACAACTTTTTAATATTCTTCATAACTCTGTCTGTACTGTTCCTTCTTACTGAAGCTGGTCGGTCTTGATCGGTCCATTTAGAAGAAATGTCGAACGCGTCAAACGCCCCCCTTTTATGTGAGCGCGTGCAGAGCCTGAAGCAGAAAGCCTGCTTTAACAAAGGAAGTTGATAACCACCCTTGTGATACCCATTATGTCTGACTGAGCTAACACAAAGAAACACTTGCTATGTCAAACTTGCTTCTTAGTACACCCTCTGGACCTCCATATGATTACGAAAGGACCTGTGTCAACATGTTTTTCCATCAAAAAACACATACGTTAAATTTCTGCACAAGACTGCTGACATCTGTGTCTGCATGTGTTTATTTCTTCCACTGAGCTCGTTCAGGAAGAGTAAAGCAGTATTAAATTCATTTCTTTTGAAACACAAGAGCGACAGTCATGACAGTCAACCAGGCAGCTCTGGATTTACTGGAGTGTATGGGTTAAGTCCAAATCTTCGGTTTTGTTAAAGCAGTGCATCTTAGGCATTGCTGCTCCAAAGTTCCTCTATCTAAATGCCTTGTATTAAATATAATCTTCATTTCTATCACTTTAACTCTCAGACTGTGTGGTAGGGATTTGGTGGCTGATCGCTATTCTCTCAATGTCAGGAGAAGTTTCAGTAGCACTGTTACTGATTTTGTTTTTTCTTCCCATTCAGATTCACGAGCCGGAGAAGGAGCACCCAGAACAGTGGACCATGCAGTTATCGGAGGAGTGGTGGCTGTGGTCGTGTTCGCTATGCTCTGTCTACTCATTGTCTTGGGACGCTACTTTGCAAGACACAAAGGTAGTAGATATAGGAAATGTCTAAAAACAAAGTTGCTAAATGTTTGAATGTTGATACAGTTGGGTCAACTGCTCATTAGCACAAATATCAAATCAGCCAATCAAATGGCTCAATACATTTATGCATTCAGGCATGGTCAAGATGACCCGTTGAAGCACAAACTGGACAGCAGAGCAATGTGCCAAACAGACTGGTCTGGTCTTCTAGTATTTTAGAAACTTCTTTATTGAGATGCCACACAACCATATCTAGGTTTACAGAGAATAGTCCAAAGGTGAGAAAAGAACCAGTGAGCATCAGTGCTCTGGGGGGGAATCTCATGTTGATGTGAGGCTGATAGGAAGGCAACAGTCAGTAAACTAACCTCAACTAATACAGAAGAGCATCTCTGAATACAGATGGGCTAAAGTTGCACACCGGGACCACACCGGGCACAACTTCTGTCAGCTAAGAACAGCAAGCTGAGGCTACAATTAACCTGGGCTCAAAAAACATGGACAATTGAAGATTCGAAAAATGCTATATGGTCCGATGAGTCTCTATTTCTGTTGCAACATTTGGATAAGAGATAACATATGCAGTAAATGACATGAAATTATGGATCTATCCTGCCTTGTATCAACAGTTCAGGCTTGACACACACTACCAGCGTGACTCGCCATCCCTTTATGACTATGGTGTGCCCGTGTTCTGATGGCTACTTCCGGCCATGCCACAAAGTTCAAATCATCTCAAACTGCTTTTCTTGAATGTGACAATGCATTCCCTGTACTCAAACAGCCTTAGTTTAATAGAGCACATTTGAAGGCTGGTTGTGCCTCTGGAGGTAGAGTGGGTCATCTAATGACCAGATGCCAAAGTGTCCTTGGGCAACCCTGAGTTGCTCCCGATGCGTTTATCTGGGTGTAAATTTGTGTGAATGTCAGATAGAAACCAGTGCTTGTTTGAACCTGTATTAATTGGTGAATAAGAACTGTATAAAACACTTTGAGTCCTCAAGTAGAGAGCGAAGCTGCTGTGTACGAACAAGTCTTGTTACTTTTTACCATTTACCTTTGGGATATGTTGGAACAGGAGAGTCACATAATAGATGCTCAGCTGTCAAATCTGAAGCAGCTGTATGATGCTATCATGTCAACATGGAGCAAAATCTCTGAGGAATGTTTCCGGCACCTTGTTGAATCAATGCCACGAAGAAGGCAGTTCTGACGGCAAAAGGGGGGGTCTAATCCACTATTAGCAAGGCATACCCAAAAGCTCCATATGATACATTTAAATTTTGTGTATCATTTTTAAGAAGTACCTGTTATTTCACAGCAGCTTTCCTTTTAAGCATTATCTGTCCCAGCAGGCAGTTTGTCAAGTGTAGCCTCTTTACTTTGTTTCTGCAAAAACGACTTATTACATCAATGGATGGTTGCTATCAAAATGATGGAAAGGCAGCTATTAAGGCTATGGGTTACTGATGATGAGTAAAATTACATTTTTCATGCAGTCCTGCCGCATAGTATAACAAATCTTGTATGCCGTCCTCACAACAGAGAAATAATTAGAATCTATAACACATTTCACACTTTGATGTTTCTTATGCGGGGGGAAATGAATTGGGTACATTAACCACTTTAGAGAGGAAGTACAGTAAATGAGGCAAATTAAAAGTATAGAGGAAATGTGCTCTTATTTCAGTGGTGCTGAACTCTGAGTGGCTCCTCACATTTGTGTCTAGAAGCAACATGCAAGCTGCTTGCTGGTAGATCTTAGCGGTGCAGTGAAACTTTGAGGCAGTGAGGTTTGCAGTAGCTCCAGTGATTCGTACGACTATTTCCCAGATCAACACACAAAAACAGCCTCTGTCTAGCTGACTCCGAATGACGTGTCTTATTGACACCGAAGACCAGGCACACAGCCATGTGAAGCAGTCCCACTGTTGTGTTACCGAGTGCAGCAGTGCAGATTTTAAAGGATAACTCTAGTTTATTACAACTTGGTTGCTATTCTGTATATAATGTTTTCAGCCACTTTCGTCAGTAATAAAAGAATTGAAATCCATAATCCAATACTGAGATCTAGAGGTGCAGAAACATTGCTTAAAAAAAGAAGAAGAAAAAGCGTTAGAGGGAGAAAGAAACAGGTGCAGTCAGACAATCAGAGAAGTCAGAAACAACCCCCCCAGGTTGGTCAAACTTATTTAGAGGAGAAAGCAACTTTGAAATTACTGTCCAAACATCCATTACACCTCACAGACCAACTTCCTCAACTTTGACCCACTGTGGAATTGGGACCTTTGTAAGGAAAAATAGGGGAAAACGGGTTCACTTCGGGCCTATTTTGTGCCCACTTCTCATAAAATGATTTGGACAGTCTTGCTAAACTTTTGGCATTTTACACCCTGCCAAATCATCCAGCTGTTCATGAGTCCTAACACATCTGTCTCTGCTGGTTCCAGATCTCAGCAGTTACTTTGGCTCATGCAGAGATATTGAAACTGACTGGCAAAACTATGAAATATAAGCTGTAATAAACTGGACGTATCCTTTAGTGTTCACTTTGGAATTATTGTCACAATGCTGCTTTCCTCTTAGGCGACTCGCAACATGTTTTCAATATAAAACAGCAATAAGATGCAAGTACAAATAAAAATTCAGGCCACTTTGACTAATTGTGTATATTATGAGAGGTAAACTGTTTACAAGGTAGAGTGCCTGGAGGCCAAGTATAAATATTCATGACGGAACAATAATAATAATCACGAGGAGGGAGGTTTTTGTTTGTTGTTTTTGGGGGGGGGTTGGTGTCATTTGGTGGCTACACCTATGCAGATGTGAGGCTGCAGCAGCCACTCAGAAAATATTTGAATTAGAACAGAAATATTGTCTCAGGCAACTTTTAACTACCTCTTTAAAAACTTTCCAATAATTACTCAACATCACACTTACCTGAAGGGACCCACAGCCCTGAGAGTAAGTGAAGCAGCAGATTTGTATTAACTGAAGATAAGGTTGGAGGACCACAAAAGTCTGATATTACTGTTCAAACTTCTGCCAAATTGAGACACATTAATAATTTTATGAAGTTATGATGTGGAATACAAATATATATATTCCACATCATAACTTCATAACTATATATATACTAGGGCTGCCACAAACAATTATTTTGATAGTCGACTAGTCACCGATTATTTTTGCGATTAGTCGACTAATCGGATCATGCATCCACTGGACGTAAAACGTACAGCTTATTGCACCAGCATGCATCTGCTCTTATATAACTATCATTAGCTTACAGCTTTAAGGTAAATGGTAAATGGACTGGTTCTTATATAGCGCTTTTCTACTCTGTCTGAGCACTCAAGGCGCTTTATACAACTAATTCATTCACCCAGTCACACAAGCACTTCTAAGCTCTTAAGTGCTGAGTATCTAACATTCATACACATTCACAGTCCGATGGATGCATCGGAGAGCAACATGGGGTTAGTATCTTGCCCAAGGATATTTGGCATGCAGACTGGAGCAGCCTGGGATCGAACCACCGACCTTCTGGTTAGTGGCTGCCAGAGCTACAGCCAGTGTGTGCTGTTTTAGTTAGTATGTGCTAACTAAAAATAAAGACAAGATGATAGTTTATTAGATTTTAATGAAATTTGCAGATTGTTTCAGTGAAGTTTAATAAATTCAGCCGTCTGCTCCTTGCTATCTAAAATATAACAGGACACCGGAGTATATTCTCGAGCATCTGATAGTCAGTTGTCTGCTTGACATTTATTCAGCTGTGTAAAAACTATAACTTTAATCTCAGCCAAACCGATTTACTCAGGAACAAATAAAATACTGAAAAAAGCCAAACAATAACATTTTTAAGTTATCTAAGTGACTTCTATATCATGTTTAACCTGATAGCGAAAGATGGCAGTGGGTTTGAAAATGATTTGCCGGGAGTCCGGTGTTCTCACCGGCTCTAGTGAGCCTTGAACCCGGCTAGCTATCGAGCTGGTGGGTAACAGACGTCTCCGAAAACGTCAGAGCGCTTTGGAAAATATGTGATGTCTCGATAAACCAAGCAGATATTTGAAGTTTACACAGTTACATTCTCACCTGAAAATATGTTAAACGTTTATTTTGTGACCCAGAAAGAATAATAAGAGTAATATTAAAACTAGCTGCCGCCATTGTTGGAAACTGAGCAGGGCCGCGCTATGAATTCTGGAATAGGTTGGGCCACAAAGTATACACCCGACCCATCCTTCAAATCTGGGGAAATGAAGGGCGCACTTGTCGGAGTCTTCAAATTTGGACAGTCTTCGTCGTGTCGCTGTAACGTAATCGGCCTACAAAGGACACAGCTACAATACCGGACACTGCTGCTTCTTCTTCTTCTTCGGGGTTTAACGGCAGCTGGCATCCTTGTACATGCAGTGCTGCCATCTTCTGTTTCAGTCTGTTATTACACTCTTAAATCCTACTACTTATTCCTGCGTCCTTTGTGATCTTACAAAGCTTCAAACGATGCGTCGACTATTAAATTAGTCGTCGACGATTTTAATAGTCGACATAATCACGAGTAGTCGATTAATCGTGGCAGCCCTAATATATACACATATATATATTCAATTTATTTTCTTGCTTTATACATGCTTTATAGTATATACAGCATAAAAGAAAAAGTTTTCACATGGGTGCAGTGTAAAAAAACACTAGGTGGCTCCACTCACACCCAGTGTGAAGGGAAGTGAGAGGGTTAGCCTTTGGCGCTTTGAGTGTTCAGTTGTGTGATTGAAGCCCAGATTAAAGTTGGAGTAAAATATTGGGATCTCTCGTGTTGTCCTTACATACCTCTACAGTATATCCTTACTGCTTCCATAGAAATGAAGAGGGTAAGTAGCAGCCAGCTGCTGCTAATCAAATGCACTTGATTAATTGATCATCTGCAAGTGGAGGCACCTCTATAAAAGCAGACGTTTTCGGCGGTTTTCTGGTCTGGAAATATAAAGGTGTAAATTCCAAGGAGAAAAAAAAGGCAATGATCTTAGAAAAGCAATTTTTGCTTTGTATCAGTCTGGGAAAGGTAATAAGTCCATTTCCGAATAATAGAGTCTGGCATTCTACAGCTAGAAAGATTATTCACAAAAAAACATCCAAGACAGCTGCCAGTCTGCCAGCAGTGGACGTCTGAAATTCACTTCAAGGTCAGACTGTGCAATACTCAAAGAAACTGAAAAAACCCCAAGAGCTACATCTCAGACTCTACAGACCTCAGTTATCATGTTAAATGTCAAAGATCATGACAATACAATTAGAAAAAGACGGAACAAGTACAGTTTGTTTGGCAGCACAGCTTAGATTTGAAAAGATGCTTCTGAAAAACACTTCTGTAACAATGTCCTTTGGGCAGATGAGAGTGGAGATGTTTGACCATATTGCATTGAGTCGACCATGAACTCCTCTGTAGACCAAAGTAGTCTAGAGTCAAATGTGAGACCATCTGTTTGACAACTGAAGCTTGGCCAAAATTGGGTCATGCAGCAGGACAGTCAGAAAATCTACAACAACATGTTTGAAAAAGTCAGAGTGTTGCAAAGAGACCTTAAGAGAGCTGTGCATGAAGGAATGTATGCAAGCCTCAATGGTCTGAAGCATGATGACTGCCATCTAAAATTTCCTCAGAAGTCAATGTCAAATTCAAATTTATTTGTCACGTACACAGTCATACACAGTACGATATGCAGTGAAATGCTTATGTGCAATGTGCCATACGATTGCATTAGCAATAATTTTAATAACGCTCTATATTAACAGTTACACACTATATAGAACAACTTTATAGAATTAAATTTGTTTGTAGATGTTGGCAACTATCAGCGAATAGTTATCAGCTATTTTGAAACAAAAAAACAACACTTTTTATCCATAATAGCAAATGGACTGTACAACAGAAAATGCAAATGCTACTTATGGTCTGCTCACACCAATGATAAGAAAAATAAACTGGGCCAATGTGGCATGTTTGTTACTACAGAGATACACATGTTAATGTGATCTCTGGTCTCCCACTCAGAGATACAGGTCTCCGAGTGTCCAGCATTCAGACGGCTACCTGAGGACACTCAGATATGTAGAGCCAAATACAGCAACAAATCCAGCTGCGTTTGTAGTTCTGCAAACTTTGACCCCCACAGAGTCAAATCAGCTGTATTTCGATGTCCTCTGTGTCCAGCCAGTTAATGCACGGCAAATCCAGCTGCTCATTAACGCTTTCTGGTTTGATCAGAAAAGAAAACATTGGTCCATACACCTGAAAGTCCCAAAAACACATAGTGAATTCTGTCCTGAGTCCACGGATGTATCCGTGTATTTCCGCGGTGCTGATGCTGCGCTGAGCGGACAGATCTTGAAGCAGATGGTCAGATGATTTCTATACATTTTACATCAAATAAAAACTTTGGTTGTAAGATTCAGATAATTATTTAATAAAAGCTAGACATTTTAATGAGAATAAGAAAGAAAAGTATTTCTTTGTGCCCCCCTCTCCCTATTAATGCCCTACCTGGCCCCCTGGCAAAACTTTGCTAGACCCACCCCTGCACAGTTACCAGCTGTCAGCTACTTATAAAATGATCCTGGTGTTATTTGTCTCTCAGAAACAGTTCATAACTTCCCTTCAACTCATTCATGTCACCTAAAAGGTAAACCTGTTTCTCCATCACCTGTTCAGCTCTGATGATTCAGTAAGGACATCTCCTGGTTTCATCTTCATGTTTCCCTCTCACCACATATCCAAACTGATATCATGACCAGCAGCTTTTTTACAGCTGTGGCTCCAGCAAACATCAGCTGATACTAGAAATTAATATTACATCAATTCTAACAACAGCTGATCAAGCTTAAACGTGCTGCTGTTGTTTACCGTGACATCAGCTGGTTTTTTCTTTCTGGCGCAAAGTGGGTGATAAACAAACAAGAGAGAAAAGCCGATCAGCTGATCACTGATCAGTTTCACGCTTGAAGTAGCAACAGGAGAGGGAGGGGGAGAGGATGAGAGGAGAAGAGACAGCTGCAGCATAAAGACAGAATAACTCCAGCTTTGTGTCTTTTTCCATTCTAGCTGAAGTCCGGGACAAACTGTGTTCTTTTTCAGCTCAACACGAAACGCATAATATTTTCTCTGAATACGGAACGATTACACTTTTTATGGGACGGCAACTCTACTAACTAACCTTATGAATAAAGTTCACTATCACTAACATCATATCACCCGCCTAGCTGTATAGAAACTCCGTCATGCTAGCTAGTACGCAGTACGAGTTATTGTAACTGACTGTAAAAAGTCAGCACAACGAAAATAAACTCCACCTAAACTTGGCTTATATCTGACCCAGATAGACTGCAGGTCGCCTCGGGTCTCTCCTCCTCCTGCCTCCCCTTTCTCTCATCCACCTGCCTCTGTGGAAGCTCCGCCACAGCCACCACCAAACAACTAAGTTATTTTTACACACCGGCCAGCATCTGGCCAATCCACCACCTTTCAATGTTTACAAAAAAACTAAACAAAACATCGGCCCATAAAAATGAAAAATCAACATCGGCCGGTATGCTCGATGGCCAGTCCAGCTATGGTAAATGGCCTGTATTTATATAGCGCTTTACTAGTCCCTAAGGGCCCCAAAGCGCTTTACATATCCAGTCATCCACCCATTCACACACACATTCACACACTGGTGATGGCAAGCTACATTGTAGCCACAGCTGCCCTGGGGCGCACTGACAGAGGCGAGGCTGCCGGACACTGGCGCCACCGGGCCCTCTGACCACCACCAGTAGGCAGTAGGTGAAGTGTCTTGCCCAAGGACACAACGACCGAGACTGTCCGAGCCGGGGCTCGAACCGGCAACCTTCCGATTACAAGCTACAGTTGTGCCATCAGTTAACCCCTGGCACGTGTGCCCAGGGTTGCTGATCCCTGGTCTAAAGCAACGTAAAGAAGAGTGGATCCAAAATTCCTTCCTGGCAATGTGAGAGGTGACAAAGTCATACAGAAATCAGTTACATCACGGTATTGTTGCTAACAGGTTGTTTTTGAAACTACTGAATCATGAGGTATACTTAGTTTTTCACACACTACTTCTGGATGTTGCCTCAATCTTTGTTAAATAAATGATGATGTTGTTCATCTGAGGTCAAGGTTACATTTGAATTAATTTAACACATGCTAAGGACTAGATGATATTTTGTTTACTGTGTTCTGATACGTAAAACCTTAGAACAGACAGGGTAAACGTTCTTTTTCAGGTCTGCATAATATTCTAGCCAGCCTTTTTTGCAGCACTCCAGCACCTTGTTTCTCTCTTTTCAGGCAGCATTTGTGCTTTTAATGTGGCACTACTGTCCTTCATTCTTCCTAAAATATTGTCATCATCGCCTCTACTTTGATAGGCTGTGAATAACTCTTGTAAATTAGGTTTGAAGTGGCTGGCTAGTCCCTTTTTGTGTGAACTTGACAAGGTTAATTTGAAGGTGTGAGCAACACTCTTCCTGACACTCAAGATCATTTTGAAACCCTGATTTTCATGTGCCAATCATAAAGGAAAGTGAGGGGAAACGCTGTGTAATCTGAATATCGCCGCTTGCTGGTGTTCGGTATATGTAAATGGCCACACAGTGAAGGATTTGCATAATTGGGTGCTGTGAGATGGAGAGCCACATTTTAATCTTTTGTATCATCTGAGCAGCAGGCTATTATCCAGTTCGTGACACTGTCCTCCATCCTGTCCTCCTCAGGTACCTACTTCACACATGAAGCCAAAGGAGCAGACGACGCAGCGGATGCAGATACAGCCATCATCAATGCCGAGGGTGGCCACACCAATTCTGATGAAAAGAAGGAGTACTACATCTAATCAGAACAGGACCCCTCACCTCCAATGTCCTGCTTGGGACACTGAAGGGTTTTTTGGGACGGGGAGAGGGGGAAAAGGTGGGGGTTGACAGAGGGGTTGGAATCGGTTCGGTGGAGGGGTAGAAGAGACACGGGATTTTAAAGAAAGGCCTGGTTTTAAGCCGTTGTCTAGTCTAGTCTGCAGATGTAGATGGAATGTTGTGTGTGTTTAAAAAAAGAAAAAATCAAAAAAGGATAAAAAATGTTAGGGTCTGGGGTTTTCAGTATACAGGGATGGGTGGGAGGGTGTGCCAGAAATCACTGTAGAGAGCTTCACCATTCAACACCTCCCTAACTGCTGGTACAAATTGTATTTAGTTCAACCATTTGCAGAAAATTCTGTGCCTTGTTCGAAATCTTTTGGTTCTACCCATATTTTGCATTTGTGTTGATCATCGTTTGCATAACCTCGTTGCTCCCCTTTTCCCGTTTCATCTTCCCACCTCGTAATTATCAGTGTGCTGTTGGCTTTTGTATGAGGGTAAAATTACACAGCCACTTTATTAATGTCTCTTAATGTGTCTGCACAAACGGATCCTCTCCTGCATAACAAAAACTCTTTCCAGTATACTGTGATTTGTCTCAAGCCATTACTTTCTTCTCTTTCTCCCTGAAGTTTTGACAGCTCTAAAAATGCATGGAACGCTTTACATATCATTGTACAAAGGACATAAAAGAGAAACAGGTTTATAGTACTGGACCACACACACGACACCACAGAAAGAAACGCGACTAAAACAGAGGCACAGAGGCTAATGTAAAAGGATGTTCCCATTTCAACAGGCCGGTTCAGTTTGAAAATTCATATTTAAAAACATCGGTTTTGTTTTTGCAGAGCAGATATACTTCTGTATTACTGTCTTTTAAGGCATTACATTCCTTAGTGAAAAGAAGCAGTGCATTATTTTTTCCTCACTGCATTGCCATTTCATTATTTTTGATTTCTTCCTCTGCTCTGTGTTATTTTTCTTCTATTTGCTGAATGGAAGGCCTGTCTTCCCACCGGCTTTTATTGAGTTGTAATGTTGGTTTTCAATTGATTTCCATCTGCTCTCACCCTAGAATATTTTTTATTATAAATGAGAAAGTAAGAAAATGTAAATTGTCCTAAAATTGTTTTGACACATCCTCAGTCAAGATGCCTCTGTAATAAAAGACTGTTGGAAAAAAATATTTGGTGTTAATATTTGCCAATCAGCAGCTGACATTGCTGGTGTAGTGTACGCCATACAACAAGTTTTCCAAGTAGAGAACCAGCCTTAATATAACTCCAAACTGAAGCCCATTCAAAGTTAAGTTACATCTAATCGGTACATAGCTACACGATACATAGCAGTCAAGGTCCTCCCATTAGCAGGTTCACGTTATCTCATTGACACACAGTCCAATGTAAATCAAGCCAATGGCATCACAACTGTATTGTACACTAATCCTTACTAAGAAATATTTTTTACAACTTACTAGAATTACAATGGAGTACCTTTGTGGATTTTACTGTATCACGTTCATTGTCAGTTTTGTCAAACTGTAAAATATGGAAGTGTTATGGAAAGTACATGTCTTCGAAGTAGAGTGTTCTGAGAGACAAACCATTCACAGCCATTCACCACCATACACTATATGGACAAAAGTATCTTTGAGTGCAGGTGTTTTGGGTCGCCACAGCTGTAGAAAATCAAGCACCGAGCCGTGCGGTCTACTTTTACGAACATTTGTGACGGGATGGGTTCTTCTAAGGAGCTCACTGAATTCTAACGTGGTACTGTAACAATGTGCCACCAGTGCAACAAGTCAGTTTGTGAAATTTCTTCCCTTCTAGGTATTCCCCATCTAATCTAAGTGAAACCACAGGACCTTAGCCATACAGTTATAGAGCTCCAGCCCTCCTCTGGCATTAACATCAGCACAAATCTGTGTGCCAGGAGCTTCATGGCATTAAGAAGCTCCTTTAGGTGTAATGGATAGGTGACCAAGTACTTTTGTCCATGTAATGTATGTAATTTTGCTCAAATTCATTCATTTTTGAACACCAAAATATTAATTTTGCATGTATGCTCATGCTAGAACCCGTTGTTTTTGCTTCTCTATCATGGTTTATGTACAACCTGCCAAAAGCCAATGAGAATCTGTTTCGCTATGTCAGTTTGGGAGCACTGAGGACACCAGAAGTAATTAATTGTTCATACGATGACATATTACACACGTTGTGGTCCTTGGTGTTAATCCATGGTTTGCATTATTGCTCTGGCTTTTCAACATGGCAATGTGGGTTTACCAGTGACATTGTTTCTCATTATTATGTGTTCGCACAGCAAGCAACACGCTTAATGAATCCTTTCTCCATGTGACAGCTGTGGGTGGATAAAGCTGGAGGTTTCAGATGCCGTGTACAATTTCAAGAGTTTGAAACACTGAAAGCATATTTATTTCGTGGCTTTTTTCTGTTGTGATATTACATCACACTTCAAAGATTTGTCAAAGTTAGGATGTGCCCAACATCAGCAGCAGCAGTTTTATTTTTTTAAAGTGAAGTTGGTCTAATGTTGAAAAACTAGTGTCAAGAGGACAAACTAAATCATATTAGTCAAGGAAAAGGTGTCAGTTTGATTTCTAGTGTTTATTTACCATCCACATACTGTTAATTTCAGCTCAAAATCTGAATTACTAATGTTTGCTTGTTTATTGATATACATTATTTGTTGTTGTTTATTAAATGGGACACCTGTGGAATTGGAACAGTTAAGCTTTGCATTAAATCCATTTTCAAGAAATTTGAAAAGTAATGGCAGTGCATCGTAAGCGTAAGATGATGCTTGATTTCTGAATTACGCTTCTAAATAAAATGAATGCAATCTGTTTAAAAATCTCAAATCTTAAACCTGCTTTACCTTTCCCTTGTTTTGTAATGAGATGGAAATGTGTTTCAAAATGACTTTGAAACACTTTGGTCAGACTTTGCCCCCCTTTGCAAGTTGCTAACTGTTAAAATTACTTTCTAATTTGAATAGGAAAAAATGTTTTTTAAGCTTCATAAAATGGATTCTTTGAGAGAAACCAATAAGATGTTGGAATAAATAAATCAAGACACTGAAAACCACTTTTCCATTTCATCACTGTTTGGCGCATTTATGGATTCTTTGGCACTTAATGGTGTTGCTTGCCATGTGTACACTCACTATGATTTAACACTGTGTTGCTATGTTAAAGCATTTGATTGGATTTTGTTAACGCGCAGCTCGTATTGCGACACATTACCAATGTGATAGCTTTAATATTTCATGGTCATGCATGAAGACAACATTCAGCCTTTCCATGTTGAGATTTGGGGTGGCTCTTAGACATAGCTCTTGTGAAATCCACAGCGCAAATTACACTTTCTTGACCATCTGTACATTTAAAAACGTTTAAGTTTTGGGGCGGGGTGATTTTAGAGCACAGCAAGTGGAACGGGGGGAGCTGTGGATACGTTATTTTTAGTTTTGGATGTGGTAGTTGTAGATAGGATTTACAGGAGAGACGATGTGGACAAAAATCAAAGATGTTGTGTCCAACTCTCTCCATCTGTTTCTTGTTAAAACTTGAGTTCATTTTCATTAGTTCTGGACTCACAAAGTAATTTTATCACAAAGTTAACACTGTATGCTGACGACACTGTTTTGTGTTTGTTAAATGGACGGGTGGGGGTGGGGTGGGGAACTGATTAGGTAAATGTTTCACGGTCTGGTGTCTGATTTAACTATTGATTGACTTGTTATTGTTGCTTTATGAATCACAGAGCAGATGTCACTTTCATCTGTAAGACTGATATTGTGTGATTTGTATTTTCCAGTGAGCACTATTTCGCTTCAGTGACATGTGGCAGCTTTGATTTAAATCAGACTTCAAAATATGTACTTGCCAATAAAGGAATAGAACTGAATATTGTCTTCTCCCTAAGGCTGATACGTTAATATTTTATTTGTGAATATTAAACTTTTTGCAGATTGGAATGCCAGGAGTGTTTTACGTTATAAAAATATTTTTTTGTTCTCCCAAATTTCCAACATAAGAAAGTGAAAAAAATATATTTAAGTACGCTTAATTATTCCGAATCTTAGGTGCATAACAGAACGATAAGGTTATTGTACATATCATTTTATTTTCCATTATTCCCAGTGAAGTTTTAAAAAACGTTGACTATGGTCTTATCTTACAGTGCAACTGAAGTCGTTTTCTTCCCATTAAATTCTTTTGCTAGTGTCCTGTCTCAGGTTCATGCCTTGCTGACTGATGTGACTGCATCTCAGGTAGAATGCAAAATTTAGGCCCCACCTATCAATGACATGAAAGCAAGTACAATACATCATTAAATACAATTAAGTACAAAACAGAAGTTTAGGTCCCAAAGCAAAAAGGGTGAGATAATTTTGCTTCTATGTTGTACATGTTTTATGTATTTTTCTTAATATTTGGTGCACTGTAAAAGATGTGTTAAGTATTGCTTTGTGTTAACATAGGTACTAAAGAGTACAATGTTTATTGGAATGAAGCAGGATCAGAAACTTGTTGTGGCTGTACTTCTGTCAATTTCAACGCACCACCACCTTTTGATTCCCAAAAAGTTTTCTTTCACCATTCTTTTCAGATTGATTATTTTTGTCTCTCTGCTGTACTTGGGAAATGTTAATGTGTATTAATGGAGAAGAGGAGTTCCACATTCCCATACACATTTTGTATTGGTTCATAAATAGACATTTTTACAAAACAATGAAGAGTTCTTGTCTTAATAAAAGAGAAAAGATATAAATGTCCAAAATAATCAGTGTTGGCATTGGGTTTTTTTAATAGGCTTTAGGTGAATTATTAAATGTAAAATGCTATACGTATAATATGGGCGCAGAGCAATACATACAGTAATATTTACTTTGGAATTAAACAACAACAACTGTCCACCCTAGCATCTTCTTTGTCTTCCCCAATAGACACAAACACAGATTTTTACAACTGTTTAAGTGAAGGGTCTCAGTCATCCAGGTCGTCGAAGTCTAAGGAGCTTGAAAAGAAAAGCACCTGGACTTCTTTAAGTTTCCTTGAAGACATTTCACCTCTCATCCGAGAAGCTTCTTCAGTTCTAAGAGCAATTCGGGTTCACCAGAAGCTTGGCTCGTGTGGGTCAAGATTCAGCAGGCATGTCCTGATTTAAAACCAAATTGCCTGAGGATAGAAGCTCCTATTGAGCCTCTCTGTTTTTGCCCAGATGGTGCTGAACCTTCTGCCTGATTGCATAAGTTGTAACAGGTTTTTGATGGGATAGGACAGGCCCTTCAATATCTGAGCTGCTCTGGACCAGCATCTCCTGGTGTAAATGTCCTGCAGGGAGGGGAGAGCAGCCCTGCTGTAGCGTTCTGCTGTACGGAAAGTCCTGAGGATCACTGAAAGGACCCTGAAATTCCTCTGTTGTCTGAGATAGTACAGGTGCCGACTGACCTTTTTGGACTGGACCTGAATGTGGGCAGACCATGTCAGGTCTGAGGAGATACTTGAAGGACTGCACCCTCTCCACTGGAGCTCCATTGATGACAATGGGCTTGTAGTCTCTGTGCTTACTCCTTCTGAAGTCCACCACCAGCTCCTTGGTCTTGCCAACGTTGCCGACGTAGGTAGAGGATCCATGACCCTCTTGGGGACACTCCCATAGGGCTTAAAATCTGGGACTCTCCACCAGTCGCTCTTAGAACTAAAGAAGCTTCTCGGATGAGAGGTGAAACCTCTTTAAGGAAACCTAAAGAAGTCCTTTCCAAGCTCCTTAGACTGTTCCTGCAGATGAACCACATTATTTTTGTGTTCCTGAATGTGATTTTTCATATATCACGTACTGATTCATGACAATGCAAACAAAATTGACATTTTGCACTTTTAAAAGACAAACACCCCTGCATTGATTGCTTTAGTTGCTCTCTGAGTTGTAGTGAATCTTGAAAAACAGCAATGCAACCAGAATTGGAGTATGTTTGCCTTGAAAATAAAAGTTGTGCCTTACCGCTATAACAAAATTGTGTCAAAAGATGCAACTTTTGTTTTGCATCATACCTTCATGGTTTTACTACTCCATTAGCATTTGCAGATAACTTGGCATCTTCCATGCAAAGTATGGGCACCTGTGACAAAGGACTATACCACTTCAGCTAGTCACAGCAATACACACAAGCTGAGGTCTTCCTAAGTCCTTAGCCTGCGTGACTGAGGACTTGGGGAGCACAGGTTGTGTCTTCCTGAGCACAAATTTCCCACAATTATTATTGTGTTTCTGGTTATGATTTTTAATCTGCCCGGTCTCATATGCTCTGATTTATGTCAGTGTACACAAAATAAATGTTTACCACTTGTGAAAAGCAGAAACTCTATATTTGGACTTGAGGGGTTGCACCTAAGCTTGGGTCATACATGTCATACAAGTGTTTCAAACATCATGTATTTTTAGTTTATATGCCATTAATTCAAAGTACATCACGTTTTTGGGTTGAGACTAAAAATGACTTGATGTGGTTTAGAAAAATCCCACAATTTTGCTGGTGAATACTAAATCCAGACTTTTACTAGACAACATTCTGCTGCCTGTCAAAGAAAAAAAACCTGACATCTATGAAGAGAAACACAGAGGTTCTTAAGTGACAATTACACATTTGCCTGTGAGAAACGGTGTCACAAGCGAGTCGCAGTGGAATACAAGTTTGATGTTTAGAGTGTCGTAATTTTGTTGGTGGATGAACATAACTCCATTACAGGAAACAGTGGAGGGGGTTTTACACTTACTTTCATTTTGAAATGTCTCATAAAAGCGTAATTATCCACACAGGTTCAGCTTCGCTGAGCAGTGTTGATGAATATCACAAGTGTATTTTGATTGAGACAAAGGTAGGTGTAATGGGATGGCTCTGCACATCCACTTATTCTTTGAAAGTGAAAACCTTGGCAAGAGGAGATGACATGAAATCTTTATCACATGCATAAACCAGTGTGAATATGGAGTATAAAATCAGTACTATCAATTAACACAAAGTGTAACATGTTGAGAGTGCCATGAAAGCTTTGACACATTTGGCAAGGTTTAGACTCTGACTCTTTTAAATCAACATCTCAAATATATGAAAGTAGTATCATTGATCTCAACACAGACAGAGTTGGTGTGAGGTGAACTGTCTGTCACAGACAAATGTAGTCCTCCATTCATATTTAATGTTCATGATTTAGGCTCTACTTTACACGTTAACAGACCTGTAATATTCAGGATTCAGTAGATGACTTGAGTAGAAGACGATATTATCTTTTTAATTACAATTTCGCCCCAGGCTCTCATTATACCTCAAGTGCTGTATATAATGAGCCAACATCTTAAATAAGTAAAGGTGATACTGCTATTGATTAGAAAGTTAAGACCCGAGGCAGGCTATCAGTCATAGAAAATGTACTTCTGAGCTCATGTTTAATGTGTGTGCCAGTTGGTCTCTTATGGAATCATTACTCAATATCCTCAAATAACTATTGAAAGAAAGAAATCCTATTCATTACACCTTAACGGACTCTCTACATAAATAGCTCCGTCCTAATAAAGCAAAGTCAAACCCTTCATGTCCTCGCTGATGATGTTTTGTACACAGCAATGAAAAGGTCAGTGGTGCGGTGTTATCTCTTTGTGTTAACCTTGCATGCTCAAAAGGTTAATATAGATATCCTGCAATAAGGAATACACTTTTTATCCATTACTTGCGCGCAGCAATGACATTATTATTTGACTCATCACAAGATAGCGTTTTGATTCTTATTTAATGAACTCCTTTAAAAAAAAATGTCCTTGTTACCATTTGCATATTATTCAGGGGATTGGTTGTTTAGCACCTACCCAGAGGCCATTAAGATTAGAAGGCCATGAGGAGGCTCTGCAAAATAAACCTTTATAGCCTTGTATCAACAGGTGAACAAGAAGTGATTATGAATGATTTAGTAACTGCGAGATCGTGAGGGGCAGGAAAGAGCAGAGCTATAAACTCTGGTGGTAATGGCAACCCTTAAGGCTACTTGGGAAATTAGGCTGTCTGTAAGGTCAACAATTACGCTACTTGTCTTTGCTCTGCAATCAGACCAGGTCCCCATTATGCAGAGAATTTTTTTAGACATCCTTTTTGCATGCAATAATTGAGTGAATAATTCGTTTTTATGTTTCTGCTCTGTATTTAAGCCTGTCTGTTGAAATTACATTAATATACTATTTGTGTTTGTCATTTATTTTTTCTTCTGAGGAATCATGACATGTCAGAACATGTAAGATTAGGATTTATGGTTAGGTGTAAATGCTGATATCTATACTCGTCATTGTCATGGTCTGTGAGTCCATAGGTTATATTTTTCATTTTGAGATTGTTTGTAATTGCAGTTAAGACACAATTCTGCTCACAATTTGTTTTATCACTAGCCATAGGTCTGTTTTTCTTTATATAGTATTTTGTAGGTGTAGGTTTCCTTATATTGTCTTCTTAAGTCCACATTTTTATGTTAGCTATTTCCATCTTCTGTTTCTTCCTATTTAATATTGGCCTTATTTTTGCTTCCTTCTTCTCATTGTCATTGATTAATTTCACCTGCACCTTGTTTTCCCAGCTGTGTCTCATTGCTCTGATTAATCTTCAGTGTATTTAAAACCCTGTCTCTGTCTCTCATGTGTTCTCTGTGAGTATTTGTTTTCCTGGCCTGTGTGCGCCAGTTTCTTTGCGTTATTGCCTCAGTGGCTTTTGCTTTGTTTTGGGACTTTGGTGTACTACCTAATAAAAGGTCTTTTTTTGTTTGCTTGCTTTTTTGAGTTTCTGCCAGTCTCTGAATCCTGTACTTGGGTTCTGTATCTTGTTAGAAAAATACCACTTTACTAGTTAAACCTTAGTTGTATCGGGTTTGACCCCCTTTTGCCTTCAGAACAACATTAATTCTTCATAGCACAGATTCAACAAAGTGCTGGAAACATTACTCAGAGATTTTGGTCAGTACTGATATGATAGCATCACACAGTTTCTGCAGCTTTGTCAGCTGCACATAAATGATGTGACCATTCCACAACATCCCAAAGGCGCTCTACTAACTTGAGATCTGGTGACTGTGGAGGTAATTTTACTGCAGTGAACTCAGTGTTATGTTCAAGAAACCAGTTTCAGATGAATTAAGCTTTGTGACATGGTGTGCTGTCGTGCAAGATGCAACTATCAGAAGATGTGGTCATAAGACATTTTCAGGTAAGCTGTGGTGCTTAAATGATGCTCAGTGGGTGCCAAGGGGCCCAAAGTGTGGCGAGAAAATATTCCACGCAATATTACGTGTGGTTTTTGTAGCCTTTTCTGTTGTTGCCAATTTTCAAAAATGGCCGTTTTGATTTTTGTTAATGAGACACTTTCATGATTCATCGAGTGATACCACTGACCAGCCCGTCAGTGGCACGCAGTCTGACAGCGTCACATTTTAGTACCTGCCTGGATCGCTTTGTAACCCCAGCAGAGCAGTTACTATTTTAGTATCTGTTAGCAGGTACTATGACCTAATGAAAAACCCTGAAAACTGTGGTGAGTCAATCCGAACAGGTACTAATGGAAAGGAGGGCTTTGGAGTGGTCTTCTGCTGTTGTAGCCCACCTGACTCAAAGTAAGTTATGTATTTACAGACGCTTATATATCTTTGTTGCATTACTGTATTTTTTGCACTATAAGGCGCACTTAAAATCCTTTAATTTTCTCAAAAATCGGCAGTGTGCCTTATAATCCGGTGCACCTTATGTATGAA